AGCTAACAGCTAAAATAATGTTAATTATTAGTTTTCAGCGCTTAGTTTTTTATGTTGTTTAGTCTAGAAAACATTTTTGGCCAATACTCTGACAGTATTATGATCACTATGATCATAACACAGCTGAACACAGATCAGGTTCAGCATGTAAACTGCTGATGCAGACCTCTATAGAGCGGAGGGGACGTCACGCTCTGACGAAGGGCTGACGTTTTCTGGCCTAATGTTTAACACTGAAATGTTTCCCATTTAAAAAATTTCAAAAACGCCTTTTCGATGTTTGTAATTTGCTGATATTTGCACAGTTGATTGGAATGAAAATGTGAATTTCTGTAAATGTCTTAATTAAAAAACAGTGGTCGCAAGCCAATAAAGATTTCTGTCATGATGTATATCTAAGTGAAGAACTGAGACTTTATTTTTTCAACCCTGTAATACTTAGTGTATCACATTTGATACATCACATTACATCATGACTGTTATATCTGTCTGGTGGTTTAATAAACATTCCACTTTAGGCGTTAAAGTGCTGACACAGTCCAGTCCAGAAACGTCATCTCTTCTTGTGTTTTAGTTCCAGCAAGTTTTCCACACACGTCAAAAATGTTTGTGGTATAGCCGGTACAAAATAAAGTGTGTGGGGGGGGAAATTACGGGTTTGTTTTAAAAAAATATGGAAGGGGGCAGGTTCTCCAAGTCCACAGCGGGTTCAGCTCCAGGTGCTTCTGACTGCACCAGCTGGTCCACCTCCTGTCTGCAGGCATCCTCATCATCATCCTAGATCAGAACCATGACGGTGGTGCCGTTGATGGTTTCGCAGATGATTCTGCTGGAGAAGAGCAGCGGGGAGAGAGTGCACCCCTGTGGGAGGCCGGTGTTAATGGTCCATGTGTGGGATGTGATGCGCTTCAGCCTCACCTGCTGCTGCCCGTCCATCAGGAAGATAGTGACACTGACAGGTGGAGGCACAGTAAGCTGGGTGAGCTTGAGGTGGTGGATGTCTGAGATTATGATGCTGTCATACGTCCTGGCTTGATCGCGGTGATGCAGGATGTAATGCAGCCCTGTGTTGTTTTCAGACAGCAGTGCATGTGACAGTTGGCACCATGTTCCACAGAGTCAGTGTCTCTGCCTTCACTGATCTCAGGGATTAACCCTCAATCCTAAAGTAAAGAGTGCTTAAAACTCAGGAAACCCCATGGGA